GGAGAAGACAATGAGAGAAGACAATGAGAGAAGACAACGGGAGAAGACAATGAGAGAAGACAATGAGAGAAGACAACGGGAGAAGACAATGAGAGAAGACAATGAGAGAAGACAACGGGAGAAGACAACGGGAGAAGACAATTGGAGAAGACAATTGGAGAAGACAATGAGAGAAGACAATGAGAGAAGACAATTGGAGAAGACAATTGGAGAAGACAATGAGAGAAGACAACGGGAGAAGACAATGAGAGAAGACAATGAGAGAAGACAACGGGAGAAGACAATGAGAGAAGACAACGGGAGAAGACAATGAGAGAAGACAACGGGAGAAGACAATGAGAAAAGACAATTGGTCTCCACCATGTGGAACTCCGACAAGGACATCGGCTTTATTTTAGTGTATTTTCTGCCGGATTTGATCAATTAAAATGGCTTCACCGGGAGACCATCGGAGGTCTGCACCACGTAATGAAGAATTGTCTGTGGTCACAGCGACAGTCACACCCTTGTCTGAATTCTCACCATGGCTGACCTGAAATGGCCTCCAGAACACCGGACTCACCTTCAGCATGGCGTCCTCGGGGGAATGGTGGGACAACTCACGCAAGGCGCAGACAAACTGGCGGCTACTGGTGCAGTAATGACGTCCTCCGTCCATCATATGGGAGGAGAGCTTCACCAGCTGGAAGGAGGAGGAGATACAGACAACTCAATTCATATCCAATGGTTACATGTATGGCCATCGTTGGCTCTGCTCGGGGATTAGAGGGAGGAGCTTCCAGAGACCTTCTCCCAAAACCACCATTTCCAGAGTAACAAAGCAGGAGCGGTAGGAGAGTCCTGGATGAGACCTGGACTGCGTGGTCCTGGATGAGACCTGGACTGCGTGGTCCTGGATGAGACCTGGACTGCGTGGTCCTGGATGAGACCTGGCCTGCGTGGTCCTGGATGAGACCTGGACTGAGTAGTCCTGGTGTCCCCGCACGCAGCCTCCTGGTGTCTCCGCATGCAGCCTCCTGGTGGGTCGCTCTCTGGGCGTACGGTCCACAGACCTTGTTGGGGATAACAGGAAGTGTGGTCAGGTTTGGACTCGTACATCCTCTGAGGGGTTCAGCCAGGGCGCCTCTATGCGCCTCCATCAGGCTGAAGTCACCTCTGCTACCCCGAGAAACATCAGAAGGAGTCCAGGGAACCCCGAGAAACACCCGGAGTCCAGGGAACCCCGAGAAACACCCGGAGTCCAGGGAACCCCGAGAAACACCCGGAGTCCAGGGAACCCCGAGAAACACCCGGAGTCCAGGGAACCCCGAGAAACACAATTGCGGGGTCCTGGATGAGACCTGGATTGCGTGGTCCTGGATGAGACCTGGACTGCGTGGTCCTGGATGAGACCTGGACTGCGTGGTCCTGGATGAGACCTGGACTGAGTAGTCCTGGTGTCCCCGCACGCAGCCTCCTGGTGTCTCCGCATGCAGCCTCCTGGTGGGTCGCTCTCTGGGCGTACGGTCCACAGACCTTGTTGGGGATAACAGGAAGTGTGGTCAGGTTTGGACTCGTACATCCTCTGAGGGGTTCAGCCAGGGCGCCTCTATGCGCCTCCATCAGGCTGAAGTCACCTCTGCTACCCCGAGAAACATCAGAAGGAGTCCAGGGAACCCCGAGAAACACCCGGAGTCCAGGGAACCCCGAGAAACACCCGGAGTCCAGGGAACCCCGAGAAACACCCGGAGTCCAGGGAACCCCGAGAAACACCCGGAGTCCAGGGAACCCCGAGAAACATCAGAAGGAGTCCAGGGAACCCCGAGAAACACCCGGAGTCCACTGAACCCCGAGAAACATCAGAAGGAGTCCAGGGAACCCCGAGAAACACCCGGAGTCCAGGGAACCCCGAGAAACACCCGGAGTCCAGGGAACCCCGAGAAACACCCGGAGTCCAGGGAACCCCGAGAAACACCCGGAGTCCAGGGAACCCCGAGAAACACCCGGAGTCCAGGGAACCCCGAGAAACACCCGGAGTCCAGGGAACCCCGAGAAACACCCGGAGTCCAGGGAACCCCGAGAAACACCCGGAGTCCAGGGAACCCCGAGAAACACCCGGAGTCCAGGGAACCCCGAGAAACACCCGGAGTCCAGGGAACCCCGAGAAACACCCGGAGTCCAGGGAACCCCGAGAAACACCCGGAGTCCAGGGAACCCCGAGAAACACCCGGAGTCCAGGGAACCCCGAGAAACACCCGGAGTCCAGGGAACCCCGAGAAACACCCGGAGTCCAGGGAACCCCGAGAAACACCCGGAGTCCAGGGAACCCCGAGAAACACCCGGAGTCCAGGGAACCCCGAGAAACACCCGGAGTCCAGGGAACCCCGAGAAACACCCGGAGTCCAGGGAACCCCGAGAAACACCCGGAGTCCAGGGAACCCCGAGAAACACCCGGAGTCCAGGGAACCCCGAGAAACACCCGGAGTCCAGGGAACCCCGAGAAACACCCGGAGTCCAGGGAACCCCGAGAAACACCCGGAGTCCAGGGAACCCCGAGAAACACCCGGAGTCCAGGGAACCCCGAGAAACACCCGGAGTCCAGGGAACCCCGAGAAACACCCGGAGTCCAGGGAACCCCGAGAAACACCCGGAGTCCAGGGAACCCCGAGAAACACCCGGAGTCCAGGGAACCCCGAGAAACACCCGGAGTCCAGGGAACCCCGAGAAACACCCGGAGTCCAGGGAACCCCGAGAAACACCCGGAGTCCAGGGAACCCCGAGAAACACCCGGAGTCCAGGGAACCCCGAGAAACACCCGGAGTCCAGGGAACCCCGAGAAACACCCGGAGTCCAGGGAACCCCGAGAAACACCCGGAGTCCAGGGAACCCCGAGAAACACCCGGAGTCCAGGGAACCCCGAGAAACACCCGGAGTCCAGGGAACCCCGAGAAACACCCGGAGTCCAGGGAACCCCGAGAAACACCCGGAGTCCAGGGAACCCCGAGAAACACCCGGAGTCCAGGGAACCCCGAGAAACACCCGGAGTCCAGGGAACCCCGAGAAACACCCGGAGTCCAGGGAACCCCGAGAAACACCCGGAGTCCAGGGAACCCCGAGAAACACCCGGAGTCCAGGGAACCCCGAGAAACACCCGGAGTCCAGGGAACCCCGAGAAACACCCGGAGTCCAGGGAACCCCGAGAAACACCCGGAGTCCAGGGAACCCCGAGAAACACCCGGAGTCCAGGGAACCCCGAGAAACACCCGGAGTCCAGGGAACCCCGAGAAACACCCGGAGTCCAGGGAACCCCGAGAAACACCCGGAGTCCAGGGAACCCCGAGAAACACCCGGAGTCCAGGGAACCCCGAGAAACACCCGGAGTCCAGGGAACCCCGAGAAACACCCGGAGTCCAGGGAACCCCGAGAAACACCCGGAGTCCAGGGAACCCCGAGAAACACCCGGAGTCCAGGGAACCCCGAGAAACACCCGGAGTCCAGGGAACCCCGAGAAACACCCGGAGTCCAGGGAACCCCGAGAAACACCCGGAGTCCAGGGAACCCCGAGAAACACCCGGAGTCCAGGGAACCCCGAGAAACACCCGGAGTCCAGGGAACCCCGAGAAACACCCGGAGTCCAGGGAACCCCGAGAAACACCCGGAGTCCAGGGAACCCCGAGAAACACCCGGAGTCCAGGGAACCCCGAGAAACACCCGGAGTCCAGGGAACCCCGAGAAACACCCGGAGTCCAGGGAACCCCGAGAAACACCCGGAGTCCAGGGAACCCCGAGAAACACCCGGAGTCCAGGGAACCCCGAGAAACACCCGGAGTCCAGGGAACCCCGAGAAACACCCGGAGTCCAGGGAACCCCGAGAAACACCCGGAGTCCAGGGAACCCCGAGAAACACCCGGAGTCCAGGGAACCCCGAGAAACACCCGGAGTCCAGGGAACCCCGAGAAACACCCGGAGTCCAGGGAACCCCGAGAAACACCCGGAGTCCAGGGAACCCCGAGAAACACCCGGAGTCCAGGGAACCCCGAGAAACACCCGGAGTCCAGGGAACCCCGAGAAACACCCGGAGTCCAGGGAACCCCGAGAAACACCCGGAGTCCAGGGAACCCCGAGAAACACCCGGAGTCCAGGGAACCCCGAGAAACACCCGGAGTCCAGGGAACCCCGAGAAACACCCGGAGTCCAGGGAACCCCGAGAAACACCCGGAGTCCAGGGAACCCCGAGAAACACCCGGAGTCCAGGGAACCCCGAGAAACACCCGGAGTCCAGGGAACCCCGAGAAACACCCGGAGTCCAGGGAACCCCGAGAAACACCCGGAGTCCAGGGAACCCCGAGAAACACCCGGAGTCCAGGGAACCCCGAGAAACACCCGGAGTCCAGGGAACCCCGAGAAACACCCGGAGTCCAGGGAACCCCGAGAAACACCCGGAGTCCAGGGAACCCCGAGAAACACCCGGAGTCCAGGGAACCCCGAGAAACACCCGGAGTCCAGGGAACCCCGAGAAACACCCGGAGTCCAGGGAACCCCGAGAAACACCCGGAGTCCAGGGAACCCCGAGAAACACCCGGAGTCCAGGGAACCCCGAGAAACACCCGGAGTCCAGGGAACCCCGAGAAACACCCGGAGTCCAGGGAACCCCGAGAAACACCCGGAGTCCAGGGAACCCCGAGAAACACCCGGAGTCCAGGGAACCCCGAGAAACACCCGGAGTCCAGGGAACCCCGAGAAACACCCGGAGTCCAGGGAACCCCGAGAAACACCCGGAGTCCAGGGAACCCCGAGAAACACCCGGAGTCCAGGGAACCCCGAGAAACACCCGGAGTCCAGGGAACCCCGAGAAACACCCGGAGTCCAGGGAACCCCGAGAAACACCCGGAGTCCAGGGAACCCCGAGAAACACCCGGAGTCCAGGGAACCCCGAGAAACACCCGGAGTCCAGGGAACCCCGAGAAACACCCGGAGTCCAGGGAACCCCGAGAAACACCCGGAGTCCAGGGAACCCCGAGAAACACCCGGAGTCCAGGGAACCCCGAGAAACACCCGGAGTCCAGGGAACCCCGAGAAACACCCGGAGTCCAGGGAACCCCGAGAAACACCCGGAGTCCAGGGAACCCCGAGAAACACCCGGAGTCCAGGGAACCCCGAGAAACACCCGGAGTCCAGGGAACCCCGAGAAACACCCGGAGTCCAGGGAACCCCGAGAAACACCCGGAGTCCAGGGAACCCCGAGAAACACCCGGAGTCCAGGGAACCCCGAGAAACACCCGGAGTCCAGGGAACCCCGAGAAACACCCGGAGTCCAGGGAACCCCGAGAAACACCCGGAGTCCAGGGAACCCCGAGAAACACCCGGAGTCCAGGGAACCCCGAGAAACACCCGGAGTCCAGGGAACCCCGAGAAACACCCGGAGTCCAGGGAACCCCGAGAAACACCCGGAGTCCAGGGAACCCCGAGAAACACCCGGAGTCCAGGGAACCCCGAGAAACACCCGGAGTCCAGGGAACCCCGAGAAACACCCGGAGTCCAGGGAACCCCGAGAAACACCCGGAGTCCAGGGAACCCCGAGAAACATCAGAAGGAGCCCAGGAGTCCAGGGAACCCCGAGAAACACCCGGAGGAGCCCAGGAGTCCAGGGAACCCGGCTGAGAAGGTCTGTAGAACATTTGTTCAGTAAAGAGACGACGATCCTGATGGATTGTTAGGAGAAAGTTCCGGAAGGCTCCCGGCGACGTTCTGACGAATCTGCTGAATTCTAGAAGATATTTCCTGGTTATGACACAAATTATCTCCAGAGAAGGATCATCAGACCCGAAAACATCTTACATCACCTCATCTATGATGTCATCAACATTCAAGGCCCCTCCCACCCAGAGGCCCCTCCCACAAGAAGCTCACAATACAAATCCATGTTCAGTGAATGCCCCTCCCCCTCCCCCGCACCTTCTCCAAGCGACTCTCCAGATCGAAAACCTCCAACTCCACCGTTTCCATGGCGGCCCTGAAAGAAAAAACAGTTACTAAAGACGGTGAAATCCCAGAAACGTCATCACCGAAAATCTGCCGACCCGGAACACTGTAACCATAGCAACCGACTCCGGAGGATCAGTGACACCACATAGCAACCGACTCCGGAGGATCAGTGACACCACATAGCAACCGACTCCGGAGGATCAGTGACACCACATAGCAACCGACTCCTGAGGATCAGTGACACCACATAGCAACCGACTCCGGAGGATCAGTGACACCACATAGCAACCGACTCCGGAGGATCAGTGACACCACATAGCAACCGACTCCGGAGGATCAGTGACACCACATAGCAACCGACTCCGGAGGATCAGTGACACCACATAGCAACCGACTCCGGAGGATCAGTGACACCACATAGCAACCGACTCCGGAGGATCAGCGACACCCCCAAGGACCTTACTCTGGGATATCAGTGACACCACCGAGAAGGTTGTGGATGTGACTTTGTTGCTGGTTTTCGGTCCCCATGATTTTGGTTCTTCTTCCTTCTATGGGGGGTTGGAGGACTCGGTGGGGAGGTCTGGGGACCCCGGTGTGACGGTGGGGAGGTCTGGGGACCCCGGTGTGAGTTAGGAAGCCCGGTGTCCCCATGCTGGATATTAGATATTTCTGGTTTAACGATCTCCAGGAGAGAATTCTTCACATTCCGCAGCCTGAGGCCCGGCGAGGTATTGGTGGCTTATCTCCTCCATCATGAAGGACGTGTCACCGGGTAATGTGTGTGACGGTGATGGGGAGGGGGGTGATGATGATGGGGGAGGGGTGACGATGATGGGGAGGGGTGACGATGATGGGGGGTTATCCTAAAATACTCGACTACCCCGGTCACCGCCATCACCCCGATCACCGATGTGACGGACGGCCTGGTACCCCGACTGGGTACCTCCGTCAGAAAACAGCTTCCTCCCCCTCCCCCTCCCCCTCCCCGATGCCATAATGAATGAATAGGGGGGGAGGAGACACATGTGATGGGATTATCTCCTGAGTGTATCATAGTGTGATTTACTCATCTACACCCGGAGTCCCCTACACCCGGAGTCACCTACACCCGGAGTCACCTACACCCGGAGTCCCCTACACCCGGAGTCCCCTACACCCGGAGTCCCCTACAACCGGAGTCCCCTACACCCGGAGTCACCTACACCCGGAGTCCCCTACACCCGGAGTCAGCTACTCCTAGAGTCAGCTATACTAATCCCATCATCAACACAATACAACAAAGGGACTAATAAACTGCAACAGTTCAATGTCCAGAATTATCCCCCTTCAGTGCTCCTGGAGTCACAGCCTGTACCTATAATACACACGGGGCCACATACATGTAATGCCGGGGAACATGTACAGTACATCCCCCCACACATAAACCTGGGAGAATTGTTCATTGTAACCCCAAGAGGTCCGAGGGGGGTCTCCATAGTTCTGGGTCCATAGTCAGTAGGAAGGAGGCTCCTCCCCCAGCACCAGTGACGGTTCAGTCCGTCACAATCGCCATTACCCATCACTCAGCACATCCCCGGCCTGATAGGGAGCAAATGACCTGGGACTTCACCAATACTAGCCCACAGTAGTGTCACAGATTCACTCTATATATATACACGCACGCACACACAGCTGTATCATTTAAAATGGAGCGCGGACATATCAGGCTCGGTGGCTTTGGAGGGTCCAGAGGTCTAAAGAGCCACATTAACCCTTCTGAGGCGGCACACCTTCACGTCTGGTATCTCATAGCACCCAACAATCTCTTGTTTATCGGAGGGCGG